TAGATAGATAGATAGATAGATAGATAGATAGATAGATAGATAGATAGATAGATAGATAGATAGATAGATAGATAGATAGATAGATAGCTTGTGTACTTGAGTCATAAAACTATTCTGTGTTTTATGAAGTTATTCTATTGTTGGCTGAATCACACTGATCTTTTAGTGTCAGATGGTCAGAAAACAATTAAATCTAGTTGACGAACCACCAGTTTAACTGTGCTACAGTCTTTTTTTGTTTACTGTGATGCAGTACAACTTTACGCAGTTCCTCCTGTTGACCAGTAGATGGCAGCATATTATCATATTTCAGTTGTTTCTTCAGCTTTTCTTCCATTCAAGTGCACAGCATGTCTACACACACAAATATATTTGAAATAAATACACAATATTTCCCTAAGTTTAACCTTTTTTGTAATTAACCCTGAGTAAAAAAATTATTTTGTTACTCCTACACGTTCCACATATGATTTGTGAACAGATTAGTAATACATCCAGATCATAAACATAATTTAAAAACAAAAAATGAAACAATATAGACCTAGGGTGTTCAGTCCTGGTCCTGGAGGTCCACTATCTTGCGTGTTTTATTTCATTCTCTGCTCCAACACACCTGATTTAATTGAAAGGCTTCTGCAGAACATGGAGATGTAAGTCATTGAATCAGATGTGTTGGAGCAGGTTGCAGCTCACAGGATAGCCAAACTCCAGACAGGACACCCCTGTTAAAGACAATAAAGTTGATTTAACTTGAATCTATCCACAGAACGCCACTTAAAAAAATCTAAAATTTATACTTTAAATTTTAACATTTATTTTGATAAAAAATGTCTTGTTTGTGAACCATTACTGTTGCTCTGACCACCCAAATTTAGTTGCCTGATTTTAAAGTTGACTTCAGGGTCATATTTAATGTTTAATCATTAGAGAAAATATTTGGTTTTGTTTTAAAAATCTTCATCTGGTTTAAATAACTGTGCAGCTGATTTTAAGATGATTTATGGATGATGAAATAATCTGTCTTCATCTTTTATAAAGAGGTTTTATTTGACCTCCAGAGCCCTCCACGATGAGAAAATAAAAATCTATAAAACATCAGGAAAACAAAAGGTCTAGAAGTGACAGATGGGGGCAGCATTTATCCACCAAACCTGAGTGGTGTAACTGGAGGACTAAATCAGAGATGGCAGCTAAATTAAAGGTATTCCAGCTGCAGGTCTGACTCCAGCGTCCTCACTTGTTCCTTTGCCATTTCATGCAGACTCCCACAGCAGAGCTCGCACAACTCCCACTCACTTTTCTCTGAACCGCAGATCAACTAACCTGACATTTTCCCTTCTCGTGGGGCCTCTATGGCCCGTCTGTTAGACCTTTGTGCTGCTGCTGGAAAAAGAGAAGAACGCTGTTGAACTACAGAGTCGTGGAACACGAAAGAAATCTAGAAGCTCCCGATTTTAGAGTAAAAATATCCATTTTTCCTCTGGAGAGATGATGTTTCATGTTAGCTGTTCTTGTGCTTGCCATATTTTGGACACACTCTACTGTCCATTCAGTTTATATTCTTTAATTTAGACAAAAATCTTGTTGTAGATAGCTCTTTGAATGGCTTCAGTTATGGGTCTTTTTGACCCAAGTACAGCTGGAGGATTCATTCTGATCAGTTTGACCAACCTGAGCAAAACCAGCAGCAAAATGGATTACAGCTGTCTTAAAATAACCCTAGTTTTTTTTTCACATTGGTTGATCCAAATGACATTTATAAATCAAGAAAGTCCAGTCACTTTCACAATGAAAGGTTATCACTGGCTGAACCAATTTGACAGTCATGCTGGAAATGAATTGAGTTATACCAGATTTGCAGTTTGCTGCTCCTGCTCTTCCACCATCTAGTGACTGTGAATATTTAGTATAAAAAATATGTCGTGTGCAGGTAACCCAAATAAAGTTTACAGTTTCACTTGATTTCACGAGTGAGGGAAGAATGAGGTGTGAGGCTGACAGATGGATCGGTGCAACTTCTGCAGCACTGTGAATTTCTGGAGCTCTGGCTACTGAAATAACAAGATGTTGGACACAGGAGGTCCAAATAAGTGTTATTTGCAGGGTAACTCCTTAGAGACAGTCTGAGGAGTTCAGTTCTCCAGGAGAGACTCAGAGTAGAGCTGCTGCTCCTCCACATCCAGAGAAACCAGTTGAGGTGGTTCCTCTGGTAAGAAGGACCCCTGGACACCTCCCTAGGGAGACATTCTGGACATGTCTGACTAGGAGGAGACCCAGAGGAAGACTTAGGACACTCTAGAGAGACTATGTCTCTCAGCTGGTCTGGGAACACCTTGGAGTCCTCCCAGAAGAGCTGGAAGAGGTGGATGTGGAAAGAGAGGTCTGGACCTCCCTGATCAAGATGCTGTCCCTTAGACCTGACTCTGGACCAAGATGATGGATGGATGGATGGATGGATGGATGGAGGGATGGATGGATGGATGATGGATGGATGGATGGATGGATGGAGGGATGGATGGATGGATGGATGGACATGTATGAAGTAAAATAAAGGTTTATAACTCCAAGTTTACAATGCTGACAATAAGCTCTTCCTCTGTTTATAATTCTTCCTACTAACTTTCATCAAACTCGTTTAAAAGTACAAGAGGAGCTGAACTAAATTGCAAACTTCTTGTAGGCTACCTCATCGTTAACACAGTTTGACCCTTCAGGTGTGTAGAAATGTGAACCTACAGGTGAGCTTTTCCATCTGCCCCATCTCTAATGTCTAACAGCACCAATATGAGCAGCTCTTTGCATCCCGGGGGTTTCAGTCTGACCCCAAACTGGACTTCAAGTCATAACAGTAACTGATTAGTTCTATTAAAGGAAGGACATATYGGAGTATTTGTTATTTCTCCACTGATGTCACCTTTACTGACCTTATTCTGCTGCTTTGATGACAGGACTGTACTTCAACTTTAAATAACGGCTTGGTTTTAATGACTGCAGCTGTGTTTTAATCAAATCTGATTAAGGTTAATTAAA